TCGGGTTTTCCAGGCCGGTCCGAACCCAATCGGGCTAAAGTCCAAAAACTCAATAGCCCGAATGGGTTGAGTCCGAAAAGCCCGATTTTTTTTGGACTTATATATTCAGGCCCGAATCCGATATTTTTAAGGGGTAGACCGTACTGGGCTTCGGGCTTTGACCCTAATTGACATACCTAGTTTACTCTATGATTGTTTTAGACTTCAACATGGAAATATTGTACCTCAAAAAGAGGGTTTGCAAAAAAAAAAAGTAGACTTTTAATAGCTAGCTCAAATACGTTATTTTCACTTAAATAAATGCAAATTAATAAGAAGAATGCCCACAGCAATAAATCATACGCATGCAATTGCATCATTATAGTTTGCGTTTAATATTCCACCATGCATTCCCTTTTTAAAAAAAAAAATATTAACTCATATATAAATATATCAACATAAACAAGTCATTCCGGTTGGGAAATAAAATAAATTTGAGTATCTTTATTTGATTTGTAATGTATTCATGTAAAATATCATCAATTTTACAAAATATGATGATGATCAATAATATGTGGTTGTTCACAGTTATCCTTATCGCGTCTTGTCTACTTGGTTTCAAGGCAGTGATAATGGTTGCGGCCGGAGCGGTGGCCATCATTGCGTTTAGTGCGGTGATAGTCTGGTTAAAGGTCTGGCTCATGTTCGAATGCCATACTTTGATGTTTCTATTTTTTAGTTTGTTGTTTTTGGTTGTTCTTGTAAATGCAAGTGAGGCAATATATAATGCAGAAAATAAATGACACAAGTGAATTTTTTACTAGGGTTGGTTTCCTACTCCCCGGCCCAAGTCCAAAAATCAAATCCACTAAAACCAGAAGGCAAATACAACTTATTCGCAAACGCGTAAATCAAGTACAACTTCTTAATTTACCGCTCTGTTCAATAACATGGATTCTTCAGGATAACATAATCCTAAGCTAAACTCTTCCTGAGCCTAGACTTGAGTTTTGTGGAATCTTCACACACCAACACCAACTGTTGG